TCAGCGTTCGTTCGGCCACACACGGAGTACGCCGTTCAAGTATGGAATCCATGGTTAAACCGCGATAAGAAGGCTCTAGAACGTCCACAAAGGCTGGCAACGAAATTGGTAAAAGGTCTATATAACAAGATATGCTCCGAAAGACTGCAAATATTGGGACTCTACTCATTCCAATACCGCCGACTTCAAGGGGACCTAATGTTGGCATATCACACTGCATCAACCCAACCATCCTTGCCGTTCTCTGCTGACTTTATCTCAGACTGCTAACCTCAGGGGACATCCATTGAAGTGAAAATGTAAAATATAATAAAGTCCTCCAATAAAAAGGACAGTCTTTCTATCACACGGAAGAGTACGGTGTGATTCAAAGTCATCCCGGTACATTTCCTGATCACTAGCATTCATTCGGGACCGGAAAAGACTTACTCATTATGACAAAGCACATGAAAAGAATTGAATGTTCCGAAATTGATGCACTCGGAGCATTTGTTAGCTACATCCCTGACAGTAGGAATTTCCCGATCGATCAACACAACATAACGAGCTAGCTTATTCTGAGTGCTTCATAGACCATAGTATCATAGTTCATTTTACGGTAACAGCGAAGTTTTACAACGGAATTCAAAACTGCTGACGCAATAGCATTTCTGGATGTTTTTTTTATCGTGTCACGGGCATAACTTACTACCACAACGAACTAATGATCATATAAAAGCATGGTGGAGTTTAGCCCCACTAAGAAAGGAAATGAACTGAATGTGTGGTCTTAACCACGTGCGCTCAGCAGATACAATTGATAACCAACTATGCGTCAAGTCTGATCTCTCTCACACACTCTCCAGGAACTGGATATGCCAGAATTACTCATCAATAAAAGAACGAGGACCACTGGAGATAGGACACTGCGTCCGATACCCAATGGTCGGTAAGAATCCGTAAGTCTTCATCCCATTCAAAGGCGGCACAGTCCCAGAATTGGTTAACTGGAGAATCAATTCAACTGTTAAACACATTAAACATTTACTATGCGGCCGAAACGCACAAAACTAATCCTCGCCCCGTAGGCAAAAGACAGACTGCATGTGAACCTGATCTCGTTTCTTGTGCGTGTCAAATCAGTCAGTGGATAGGAAGCACTACCAAAAACCTTCTTGGTCGTATTAGAAAACTTTCTCTGAGTTCACCTGGCCGAGGAATCGGTAGCACCAGAATGTCTACAATCGGCTCTCATTTGATCGGTTTTGGTCACACAATCAACACACGAATCTGTTCATCTGATCGATACGGTTAACGAGAGATCATCGAAAGAGGGTCATATTGCGCTTGCAGCATAAACGATTGTAATTTGATTAAACAATCTCTCTCACTACACGCTTATCAACAATAGATGAATTTACAACGGTGAGGTGGGTGATTCAATTTCACTACATAATACGTTTTGTCTTCAACAGATAGAGACGAACGGAAAATGGAAAGCACAGTACAGTCTTATCAATTGTGTGAATCAGCATCGATTCAGATGCGGATCGAATCCGAGACCTGGCAACTAGAGCACAAGCACACAGCTGATCACCTGATCACCGAGCAGATGATCTCACCCTGTCTATACATGCGGTACAGCACAACCCATTTTGTTCAGGCTTGGTGAGAGCATTTGAAATGCCCCTGCTGTGGAATCAAGAAGCTCGCACTGAATATCAAAACGTGGTCAATCAACGCCCATCTAGTGCGCGATAGAAGAAATCGACGAACATTACTCCCTAACATCTTATCCACTAGACGTAATTACCCATACAACTATAAGTTCTATTGCTTACTTAATTTTTCTCATACCATTTTCTGTAAATACGAACGGTGCTGCAATTAAACAATTGATAAGGCACGCGAGACAAATTTGTCTGCTACTTCATACCTGACCGAAAAAGAATATTATGGACAATCAAATGATCTTACTAACAAGGCCATACATTAATGGATATCGCGTCGAAACATGTGTCATGTTTTCCCTCTCTATCTCTCCGCCCACGTGATTAACTATGCACTGGCATTGGTGAACGATACCAGTAAAGGAATC